GAGAGAGAGAGAGAGAGAGAGAGAGAGAGAGAGAGAGAGAGAGAGAGAGAGAGAGAGAGAGAGAGAGAGAGACCGAGAGAGAGATTTTTGGAGGAATGTGGAGGTACTGTTCGTAATGACAAAGTTCAGAAGGGAGGTGGGAAAAGATCACACTGTCCAGATGGCTACATAAGGATAACTTCTAGTTTGCCGCATGGGACGGAGTAGACAAACTGCCTCACTCTTTCTGCCGTTGCCAGGGAAGCGTTTCCGTAGAGAACATCCCTTTGGGTCATTCCGAGGGGGTATACAGTGTACACTTTTAGTGGCCTGTTAGGAATCATGACAGGCGGTCTGGAGCTCTTCCATGACGGCTTGTAGTTCAACGAGGAGTACAGAGTTTGAATCGCATTGTGAAGTTGCTCAACTGTCAGCTCGTCATCCCGTAGGAATATGTCAAGGAAGTCAAATGCTCCACGCTCCCTCACGAAAAGGTGGAAGACGGTTTGGGACCTTGGTCTCGCACTTGCATCGCTGCTGTGGTTCCCGGTACGCACCATCTCTTTACAGCTACAAGGAGGGTTGAACTCCGCGTCAAGCTCCTCATCCTCGCGTATCTTAGTTGCCAAGAAGATGCATAGGCGACAGGTGGCAGTTAAGGCCGTCAAGTCGATGAGGGCAAGGAACGGCTCATTGGGCCGATAGCCCTTCCAGCTCACCATGGCCAAGTACTTGTCAGGGCTTTGTTGAAGGGTGTGCATTATGGTTACAATACGGGGTACCCCGGCGAGTGTCCGAAGTTGGAGGTAAGCTTTCTTCGATGGGGCGTAACTCGCGATGGTGTCGTAGCCTATGACGATCGGCACGGAGCCAGCTGCAAGGCAGTCGAAGAAGCTGTCGGATACGTAGTCTTCGGTGATCATGTTCTCAAACGCTAAGCAGAATTTGTACCTTTTCAAAGTTTGAACTGTGTCGTTTCGCCCTCCCGGAGCAGGCATGTTGTTCATACACTTCCCGTAGGAATGAATGGTCACTCCGGCAAGGGTAAGGGCCTTGATTGCGGCAAAATTGAAACTCTCAGTGTTGCAGTCATCGAGGAAGGCGGCGACATCTGCTCTGGCATTCTTCGCTTCAGGCGGGTTCAAGAAGCCGTAACGGCTCCACGAGAAGATGCTGCTCGGGACTTCCGAGTCAAGTCTTGTGTTCATGACAGCAGCAAAACCCATTGCTCGAGCTTGATCCAGATCAATGGGCTCGACTTTCGGGGGCCTTGGCGCTTTGTACACTGCAAAACCATAGTTCTCATCCTCTGGCAGTTTCAGTTCAGACACAATGGTCACCTCTGCCATCTGATTACTTTCCGTAGGCCCTCCTTGTCTCTCCTTACCCACCCTCCGGCAGCCGACAGGGCAATGGTCTTCGGGGTCTTCGTCCGCGTTGTTGATAGTGACGGGATCCCTTGAGAAGTTCCGTTTGTAGTGGATTCGGTCCATGTACTGCAGCCAGGTTGTGCATCTCATGCGCCAACTGAAGTGGGGCACCATACCAGTGTGATTGCCGGCAATTACTCTTTTGACTCCGAAATCATATGACTCATTCTCGTAGATATGATCCGCCACCCCAGGCCGTGTAGGCGCAGTACTATTCTCAGCCTCGCTGCCATCCGTGGGAAGCCGGGAATCCCGGACATCTGAATTGGATTCCCCGCTTGACACTGGGACTACCCTGTCTGCTCCCCTTCCCATAACAGGAGGATCTGGCCCTCGATTAGAATCTATAGTGTATTGTTTACCAGCCTCTCTGACCTTCTGCATGCTTTTGTCCATTTTAACATTTGCGCCCAATTCCTTCGCTTCCTCATTCTTTCCTTTCTCACCCTTTCGTCCGTCCTCTTTCCATTCCTCCTCGGTTCCCTCCTTCCCTCCATCTTTCACTGTGCCTCTATCCTCTGCTCCCTTCTCCCTCGTCCCTTCTTCCTCCCCCTTCCCTCTCTCCCCTTTCCTCCCTTCCTCCTTCCCTCCCTCCTCTTTCCCTCCCTCGTCTTCACTTCCGTCCGCCGTCCATCCAACCCTCCTTCCATGTTGCTTCCATGTCTCTTCGTTCCGTGCGTTTTCCACCCTGCTCCCTTCATCCAACCACCTTCCCTTTGGCTCTATAACCTTGCGTTCGACGGACTCTTTGACTGTGAGAAAGTGATTAGCATTCCGGGTGTTGTCGTCGAGGTGTTTACCATCGTGGTGGTTTTCTCCACACACGCCTTGTTGACATCCCTCGAGCCCCTCGTTCTGCTGTGGTGGCTGCTGCGATCCTTCTTCTAACCGTACTCTGGCCATGTTACGATTGATGGGTCCGTCGGCTAGCTCGCGTTGACTGCTGATGCCTGGTGCTTGCAGCCGTATTCTTGTCGTTTCTGATTTCTTCACGACGAGCACTGCAAAACACCCGCAAATGCAGGCCATAATCAGTAAACCACTAAGAAAGCGGAAACGAGTTGGCCGAAACAGTCGTGCGGGCAAGGAACCGCGGCACCCACTGCAGCTCCCAAGTACAAGCGCCCTGAAACAAACTGCGGAGAGTTGGTAAGTGTCTCCTTGCATGTTTGGCCAAATCATTGCCCCCACTGTCGGGAACGCCTTCAGCTTTTTTGTCTGTGTGCTGGCACGAAGTGTGGCGTCAGAGTTTCCATAGTACATGAAAATAGAACGGAAACAGTCAGTAAGTAGCCTTGCCAAATTGATGGAGAGCTGTCACAGTCGTGTGCTTGGAAATCTTGCACACATGGTTCGGAGGGAAGCTTAGTCAGATTACAGACACTGCTTACCCTATCTATCGGTTCGGAGGGTAGTATTGGGTCGTTGGTTCGGATCCAACCAACCAAGGGAGATGTGGGGCATTCTTATCTGTTTTTGTGTGTCCGAACCCGTCCAGGATATCGACAAACACTGTGACAGCGGAATGGTGGTGCTCCCCTTTGCCAGAAGGTCCCAATTAATGCCAGGCCTCCTTTCTCAAAGAGATCCTCTGCCTTAGTTTGAAGCGCCGTCGCCTTGTCAGAAACATACTAGGGAATGGTCACCAGTTCAAACCCTGCTATACCTGTCCAGGAGATTGACAGGCACAACAAAGTGGTGGGATTCAACTTATTAGCCAGAACTTCAAGGTCTCGATAAATGCCTCCCTCGGCGAAGTTGCTTTCTGCCTTAGTTTGAACCACCTTGAAGTTCTCTTTGTGGCAAGCAATACAACCATCTTCCCCCAAACATAACACACCCTCGTCACAACCGCATCGGACCAGAAAGATAGCGTGTATTTGGGGGAAGATGGTAGGGTTTAGGGTTTAGGATTTCGTGATTCGTGTTGATCTCCATCCGCTAACCATACAGGTTAAATTAATGTTGGTGTGTTTTTCTACTAACTCAAGGTTAATTCTGTGGACTTGCAAATTGCCTTCAAATTCTTCACAAGGGGAACTTCAAGATGAAAGATCTTCTGTCAGAAACACCCTTTAGCTTGAATAAGGGTCAAATGCACACACTAGCCTAAGGACTTTTTTACTTACTTCTGGACGTGATTGTAGTCACATTCATCCAGGTCCAGCCGTAAATACCATGAGATGCATTTAAGGTCGTGCCAGTGTGAGTACGTTGTGAAGCACCCTTTTTTATTTTGTTTTGAAAGGGCGATGGCCTTGAGGTATGATCACTCTAAATGGTCTAAACTTACCAGCCCCATGTAATTTATACTTGTTTTATACAGCTGAGTCCATAGGGATTCGAACTCAAGTCTGTTTGATCAACAGTTCATGGTAGTGCCATTCAGTCACATGGGCTGGGTTGAAGCGCCCTTTCCTTTTTTCTTTTATTCTTTTCTTTTCTTTTCTCTTTTCTCTTTTTTCTTTTTTCTTTTTTTCTTTTCGTTTATCAGAACACCCTTTCCTTGGCTGAGAGATGATAGCTATGTAAGGACCTGCCAAAACACGGACTGAAAACACTCCTGATTTCTGGGTTCAAGTTTTGCCGCTGGAATGTATGCCTTGCTAAGATTTCCGCTTTTTGCTGATTTTCTAAGTCTGTGTGACACTGTGTGCGTCCTTGCTGGAACGTGTGCCGGTCTGAGTGTTTGTCGGCCTGAGTGTGTGTGTGGCCCGCCAGGGCACTCGTTTGTTTGGGAGGCCCGCAGGGCCGATACTTGCCTGTGCCCGTGACTGTGAGGGGTTGCAGGGGGGGAAACACTCAAATGGCCAAATGGGTAGCTTAGGGCACACACAAGTAGCGTAGTGTTGGTACCGGTAGCACTTGAGTAGCGGTACACCGAGCAGAAGCAGACAAAACGTTAGTACCTTTAGGGGTAGGAATCTGGTAGTAGAGTGTCTAGGCCCTGTAGACTAGAGATGAGGTCTGCAATGATGTTTCCCTCCGAAAGGGAGGAGGCACTGGTTGCTTGGAGGCCGTGCGGTCTGGAAGTCACCGCCCAAGAGGCTGGCTGCCAGCTATATCTCAAGGTGAAGCGAGTTGCTCCTCCTAATTTGCTGCGTGCAGGTTTAGACATCACGCTGCTGGAGCGCCCGGTGGAGAGTGCTAGTGTGCAGGGCTGGGAGACGATCGCAACATGTGCAGATTGTGGCGATCCTCCTGATTGTCGAGGGTTCAGCCTCCTGATGAGTCGGTGCAACGACAGCGAAAAAATCTATCATCATCAGCTTTTTATTTTTTTCAGTTTTCTTGGGTTTGGTACTTGCCTTGTCCGTTGGTTGTTGTCATCTCCCTGCCTTATGTGCTGGTGTCTTGTCTGCCCTCGTGCCTCCCCCGTGCCCTCCAACTTATGTGTTGTCTTTTTTTTTTTTTGGTACTTGTCCGCTGGTTGTTGTCGTTTCCCTGCCGTATGTGCTTGTGTTCTCTGCCGTCCCGCCTCCCCCGTACCCTCCAACCTATGTGTTGTCTCAAGTATTTTGCTTCCCCCGTGTGCCCTCCAGTCTATGTGCCCTGCTGTGCCTTCTCATCAACAATACATTGCCTCCCTGCCCCCCGGCTTTGTTGTCGTACCTTTGCCTTTCTTCTGTGTCTGTTCGTGATGTACTGTTGTGTGTATAGTGGGTCATACTGCAGCTGTATTTGAGGCAATTATGCTCCGGCATGTTTTTTTCCCACCTTCCGTAGATGCATGCATCTGTCCCACACCTACAAGTAACCACTTTATTTGGGACTTGTATTTTTCTTCTGGTTTGTCTGTTTGACGTGCGTGCATGTTGTCTGGCCTCCTGCCTTCCCCGCGCCCTCCAGCCTATGGTTCACCTCACTGCTCTTTCACATTGATGCCTTTTTGCTTGCTTGGTTTTGTCATGCCTTGATGCCTTTCTTGTCTGCCTGGTTGGTGTGCTTGCGTGTTGTCTGCCCTCCCGCCTCCCCCATGCCCTCTAGCCTATATGTCTGGCACTTTGTGAAAGCTGGTCATGGATAACACGTATGTACAAGGTAGCTTCATGAGAAATAGTAGAGTGGCAACATACAGTGTTAGTTTTGTTACGGCATGGCGGGGTGTACCATGGGTTCCATGGGGTGCATGGTGAGTACACCATGGGATATATTGGACACACACACAATCAGGTTCATGTATGTCTGTTGTTCGCTTGTTGTTTGTCCTTTCTCTCCGTTTTTTTCTAAGTACTCTTTATGAGTCAGATAGTGAGCACCCTCAAGAAGTGCTAAACAGTAGGTGGTCCATTGTTTGGAGTGCCTGCAGGACTCTTAGGGGAACCGCTCTGTCCGTGATGTCTGTGTGGTGCATATGGTCTTTGGGTGATGACAGACGTCTGTTGGAGTGACTCCTTGGCTCAGTGGGTGGTGGGAACCAACAGTCTGCGGGGTCCACCCGTGATGTGAGAAGGCGATGTGCTGCTTTGCTCCGTGTTGGATGTGTGGACTGCATTGCCTTTTCTGCGCTCCACTGATGCCTTGCTGCTCGTCCCACATGCTTCGCATGTCGTTCGTTGTGGGCTGCTGTGTTCACTGTGTGTTGTGGCTGCCGTGTTTGTGTTGCACTGTGCTTCACTGCCTTGCTGCCTTGCTGCCCGTCCGCGTGCTTTGCTTGTGTGCCGTGTAGTGTGGCTGCGGTGTTGGTGTTGCTTTGTGCTTCACTGTGCTGTTGCCATGCTGCTCATCCGCTTGCGCTGTCGTTCCTTGCAGTTGTTTTTGGCGTTGTGCAGCCGTGTTGCCTGTGCTGCGTTTCCTGGTGCTTCGCAGGGTTGCGGCCCGCTGCTAGGTTTTGTTGGGGACAGTCTGCCTTCAAAATGGGTCAAAGGGTTCATGACCCAAACCATCAAACATGGAGATTTTGTGATTGGGATCAAGTCTGACCACCTAATCACGGGACAGCCAGCAAGCGGTAACAACCCTAAGTGAAGGTTGTGCCCCCCGCCGCTTGCTGGGTCAAGAATTTCATAATTTTATTTTATTTTTAATTTCAAACTTGCGTAATTAGTAAGATCCCGTGATTGGGATCACGTATGATCACCCAATCACAGGACAGCCAGCAAGTGGTAACAACCCTGAGTGAAGGTTGCCCTCACCACCGCTTGCTGGGTCAAGAATTTTGTTATTGAAACTTATTCTAATATTTTTGTAATTTCCTAGGCTACCAGCCGGGCCGCCCGGGTCACCTTGTTTGCCCAGGCGGCCCGGCCGTGCACGGGCCAAACAAGGCCCCAGCCAAAA